AGGTACTACTCTCAAACATTCAGTAGTACGTACAAAGTCGCTTCATTTTCAGAGCGTCTAAGCTCAGATTGCCATGCCTGCGGAGATTGGGCATCATCTTAACGCATCGTCTTCTTGGTTAAATCCGTGTAGACTGTACCTGTTGTATCTCAAGTGGATTATTTGTCAATTTAGGCATAATGCCCAATTCATGTGAGCCAATCACTCTCCCTAATCACATGAAACGTCAGGCCTCCAAAGTTATAGTCGCTCATTCGAGCTGACTGCACTCACTGAAAACGTCTTCGCTTCATCTACGAAGTCTCCTCATCCTCTCCTTCCTTGCAATCCCTTTTCCTCTATTTTACGATAGATTCTTGATCCAGAGGTGTCCTTTTTGATTGTCTTCTTGCCTCGCTGTTTTCTCAGAGTCTGATCAGGCAATAGGCAAAGTTATCATTCACTCTGTCTTCTTCCAATCTCCTCTTCATTACATTTACCCACCAAGGATGTCAATGGACTCTCTAATCTTCCGATTCTTTGTGCTTTCACTGTATGAAGTCCTTCCTTCTGTCGTCTTCCAATTGATATCGTGTCCAATCCCTGCGATGTTTTCCGCCAGTTCTGATCTTTCGTTATCCATTTTCCTGTAGGGCCTTTGATGTTCCTTGATTCGTATGTCGATTTTTCGCCCAATCTCTTTCTGTTTTCCACACGCCGCATGCTATGCAGAAAACGCTTGAGCAATCCAATTTATCTACCCTCTCATGTTGTGTCAGGAGACTCGGGAAGAGTATCATTTTTTCGGGGTCCATTGTTTGTAAGATCATTTCCAAAGTTGAACCATGGACGTGGTACATTCCCATTCTTGTCTCTTTGACCAGTTGTTGTGTGGTGCCAAGAATGGCCGACTACGGCGAAACGTTTGGGAATGTCCCAGTATTATTTTTTTTCGTCATTACCACTCGAATATTCCATTTCATTAATGTTGGACGTAGTTTTTGAGCTAGTCCATAGGAAGTGAGACATATCCACTTTTGAGT